TTCTTTTTTCCTCTCCCCTTTTTTTTCTTTCTCACCCTTTTCCCCCTCGCTTTTTTCCTCCCTCTCTCTTCTTTCTTTCTTTCTTTCTCCCCCCTCTCCCCCTTTCCCCCCTCTCTTTCTCCCGCTCTCTCTTTCTTAATTTCTTCCTCTCTCTCCCTTCCCACTTTCTTTTTCTTCTCTCTCTTCCCCCTCTCTCCTTTTTTCTTTCACCCTCCCACTCTCTTCCTCTCCCCTTTCTCTGTCTTTCTTTTTTCTCTCTGCATCCCCCTCTTTCTTCTTCCTTCCTTCCTCTCTCTTCTTCTCCCTCTTTCTCTCTCTTCCCCCTCTCTTTCTTTTTCTCTTCCTCCGTCCCCACTTTCTCTTTCTTCCTCTCTCTTTTCCCCTTTTCTTCTTTCTCCCCCTTCTTTCTTTCTTTCTCTTTCCTTCCCTATCTCCCTTTTCTTTCTCTCTCTCTTCCCCTGCCCCACTCTTCTCTCCCCTCACTCCCTCTATCTTTCTTTTTTCCTCTCCCCCTTTCTTTTTCTTTCTCACCCTTTTCCCCCTGGCTTTTTTCCTCCCTCTCTCTTCTTTCTTTCTTTCTTCTTCTTTTCTTTCTCTCTTCCTCCCTCTCCCCCTTTCCCCCCTCTCTTTCTCCCGCTCTCTCTTTCTTAATTTCTTCCTCTCTCCCACTTTCTTTTTCTTTCTCTCTTCCCCTCTCTCCTTTTTTCTTTCACACTCCCACTCTCTTCCTCTCCCCTTTCTCTGTCTTTCTTTCTTTTCTCTCTGCATCCCCCTCTTTCTTTCTTCCTTCCTTCCTCTCTCTTCCTCTCCCTCTTTCTCTCTCTCTTCCCCCTGTCTTTCTTTTTCTCTTCCTCCCTCCCTACTTTCTCTTACTTCCTCTCTCTTTTCCCCTTTTTTTCTTTCTCCCCTTCTTTCTTTCTTTCTCTTTCCTTCCCTATCTCCCTTTTCTTTCTCTCTCTCTTCCCCTGCCCCACTCTTCTCTCCCCTCACTCCCTCTATCTTTCTTTTTTCCTCTCCCCCTTTCTTTTTCTTTCTCACCCTTTTCCCCCTCGCTTTTTTCCTTTTCTTTCTTTCTTTCTTTCTCTCTTTTCCTCTCCCCTCTTTCTTTTCTTTCTTGTCAGAAACTTTGGAAACACAAAACCCAAAACATCCCGGAGTCTGGACAAAGTTCTTAACCCGAGATCCGAGAGTTTGAGCCAAAAAACGCGCGGCTCTTGACGCAGCGTCGTGACCTTTTCGGCTCTTTCGTGTTTGTATTTGAAACATTTTTGGCGCAGGTGGCTCCAAAAACTCCACCAGCGCGTTCGGTTTGACTCTAGCGCCCTCTGCTGTCGCCAAACACGAAGCACAAACCACAAATCTTTTATTTCCTGACTATTAATTTATTACTAATTGTGTTTTTTTCTGCTCTGACACGCCTGGAATCAAAAAATAAAACCGTAAACTGACGTAAACAAGTGGAATTTAGGGGGTTTTATGTGAAAATAAAGGAAGTGAGTGAAAAAAAACGCGTGGATAAAAGTATAAAACGGGTTCAGATCGTGTTTTTAACTGCGTATTTTTGCGTTTTTTGGGGATGTCGGAGGGAGAAATGGAGCCGCTGGAGCGCAGTGTCCGTGCGTCCTGAGCCAGTCTCCTCCCCCCGTGAAGTGGATGAAGAAGACGAGCCAGACTCCGCGCTGCCTCATACAGGAAGAGCAGAAAAGTGCAAAGCAAAAAAAAAAAAAAAAATCCGATTCTGAATTCGATTGCACACACTTTGCACTTTGGGTTCGTGCGCCAGCCCCAGAACATGCGCACAGGAAGACGGACCGCGCCATGAGGACCGCGGTCAAACCGGAGGCGCTTTAACGACACGAAAAAGAGAAAAAAAAAAAAAAGAAGAAGAAGAAGGAGGAGAAGAGTTTGAAATGGGAAAGTGAGCTGCCAGTTCGCCCCACACGAGTGAAAATGTCAGAACACCGCTCCAGTTTTCTTCACATCGGAGACATCGTGTCACTTTACGCGGAAGGCGCCGTCAATGGATTCATCAGCACTTTGGGGTGAGCTGCTCCTTCTTCGTCTTAGTCCGGGGAGTTTGACACAAATCTCACACGTTGTTATCTCCTTTAACTCTCAACTTTACACGCCTCCATTTGCAACATGGAGGTGACAGGAGCTGCTTTCTCGGTCAACTTGTGTGTTTCTCCGGGATTTACAGATGAAAAACCTACAAGAAACTCATTTTTATTCGATTTAAACGTCCAGTGTTACGCAAACGTGACTCTTGTGAGGTTTAAGTCGCGTTCTAACGTTGTTATCTGCTCACAGACAGAGCTGGAGTTGTGTTTTGTTTCATTCACACATGTTTGACTTGAGTCTGTCCACATCTCCAAAGCTCGAAATGACACAACTTTTGCCCTTTTGACACAACTCTGCCCCTCGCACTGGCAGCATGTTTCAGTTTGGCATCTCAGCCCTCAGCAGTTTCTCTCCAGGGGGCAGTTTTGAGTCTGTTTTGAGTCTTTTTTTAGTCTGTTTTGACTCAGTTTTGACGCAGTTTTGCGTCTTTTTTGAGTCTGTTTTGAGTCAGTTTTGGAGTCAGATTGAGTCTGTTTTGATACAAGTTTTGGAGTCAGTTTTGGAGTCAGTTTTCAAGTTTGGAGTCAGTTTTGGAGTCAGGTTTGAGTTTGACACAAATCTCACACGTTGTTATCTCCTTTAACTCTAAACTTTACACGCCTCCATTTGCAACATGGAGGTGACAGGAGCTGCTTTCTCGGTCAAGTTGTGTATTTCTCCGGGATTTGATCCATTTAAACGTCCAGTGTTACGCAGACGTGACTCTTGTGAGGTTTAAGTCGTGTTCTAATGTTGTTATCTGCTCAAAAACAGAGCTGGAGTTGTGTTTTGTTTCATTTACACACGTCTCCAAAAGCTTAACATGCAACATTTTGGCAACACAACTTTTGCCCTTTTGAATCAACTCTGCCCCTCGCACTGGCAGCATGTTTCAGTTTGGCATCTCAGCCCTCAGTGGTTTCTCTCCAGGGGGCAGTTTTGAGTCTGTTTTGAGTCTGTTTTGAGTCTGTTTTGAGTCTGTTTTGAGTCAGTTTTGAGTCAGTTTTGAGTCAGTTTTGTGTCTGTTTTGAGGTCTGTTTTTAGGCAGTTTTGAGTCAGTTGTTTTGAGTCTGTTTTGAGTCTGTTTTTAGTCTGTTTTGAGTCTGTTTTTAGAGTCAAGTTTGGATTCAGTTTTGGATTCAGGTTTAGAGTCATTTAGGAGGCAGGTTTGAGTCAGTTTTGGAGTCAGTTTGAGTTTTTGAGGCAGGTTTGAGGCAGTTTTTGAGACAGTTTTTGAGTGTGTTTTTGAGTTTGTTTTGAGTCTGTTTTAGAGCTGTTTTTAGGATCTTTTGAGTCTCTTTTTGAGTCAGGTTTGAGTCTGTTTGGACTCTTTTTTAATCTTTCTGAGGCAGTTTTGGAGTCAATTTTGGAGTCAGTTTTTGTGTCAGTTTTTGAGTCAGTTTTGATCCAGGTTTGGAGTCAGTTTGGAGTCAGGTTTGACTTTGACACAAATCTCACACGTTGTTATCTCCTTTAACTCTAAACTTTACACGCCTCCATTTGCAACATGGAGGTGACAGGAGCTGCTTTCTCGGTCAAGTTGTGTGTTTCTCCGGGATTTACAGATTAAAAACCTACAAGAAACTCATTTTTATTCGATTTAAACGTCCAGTGTTACGCAGACGTGACTGTTGTGAGGTTCTAACGTTGTTATCTGCTCACAGACAGAGCTGGAGTTGTGTTTTGTTTCATTCACATGTTTGAGTTGAGTTTGTCCAAAAGCTCAAAATGCAAAATTTCTAAAACAGTGACACAACTTTTGCCCTTTTGACACAACTCTGCCCCTCGCACTGGCAGCATGTTTCAGTTTGGCATCTCAGCCCTCAGTAGTTTCTCTCCAGGGGGCAGTTTTGAGTCTGTTTTGAGTCTGTTTTGGGTCAGTTTTGGGGTCAGTTTTGGAGTCAGTTTTGAGTCAGTTTTGGAGTCAGTTAGGAGGCAGGTTTGAGTCAGTTTTGGAGCTGTTTTTGGGATGTTTTGAGTCTGTTTTGAGTCAGATTTTAACTCTGTTTTGAGAGAGTTTTGCAGCAGTGTTTGAGTCTATTTGGAGGCTGTTTTGAATCAGGTTATGAGTCTTTTTTGAGTCTTTCTGAGTCAGTTTTGAAGCAGGTTTTGATGCAGTTTTGGGTCTATTATGGGTCAGTTTGGATTCAGGTTTGGAGTCAGTTTTGGAGTCAGTTAGGAGGCAGGTTTGAGTCTGTTTTGAATCTGTTTTGACTCAGTTTTTGAGTCAGTTTTGATGCAGTTTTGGGTCTGTTATGAGTCAGTTTTGAGTCAGGTTTTGAGTCTGTTTTGGAACTGTTTTTAGGATGTGCTGAGTCAGGTTTTGAGTCTCGTTTTGAGTCTGTTATTGGGGCAGTTTTGAGGCTGCACAGTCCGGTCTGTCCAGGTGCACGGGTTTTGACACTTGGTGCCGCTGAGGTCAGACGTGTCCCCTGAGGCCGAGGGGGAGGAGTCAGGGGCCCGAGTGAAGACAGACGAGAGGGCAGTGTTAATGATCGGCCCACATTTAGGAAATCATATTGTTTATGACTGTAAATTTGCATCATTTAAAGGGCCTAGATATTCCTGTTGACCCGGACAGTCCCAGTCCAGAGTCTGTGTCCCCCGTCCCACAGATTTATACAAAACCTCTGATTTGTCCCAGTTTTATATAAGAAATGTCCCAGGTGTCCCTGTTTTGGACCAATCTGGTCTAAACCAGAACTAAACAAGGGCTAAAATAGGTCTATTCCAGGTCTATTCCAGGTCTATTCCAGGTCTATTCCAGGTCTAAACCAGGTCTAAACCAGGTCTAAACCAGGACTAAACCAGGACTAAACCAGGACTAAAGGACTATTTCAGGTCTATTTCACGTCTATTTCAGGTCTATTTCAGGACTAAACCAGGTCTAAACCAGGACTAAACCAGGACTAAACCAGGTCTAAACCAGGTCTAAAGGTCTAAAGGTCTAAACAGGTCTAAACCAGGTCTAAACCAGGACTAAACCACAGGACTTAAATAGGACTAATTTCAGGTCTATTTCAGGTCTAATTTCGAGGTCTATTTCAGGTCTAAACCAGGACTAAACCAGGTCTAAACAGGTCTAAACCAGGTCTAAACAAACCAGGTCTAAACCAGGATAAAGGACTAAACCAGGACTAAACCAGGTCTAAACCAGGTCTAAACAGGTCTAACCAGGTCTAACCAGGTCTAAAAGGTCCAGGTCTAAACCAGGACTAAACCAGGACTCTAAAACCAGGTCTAAACCAGGACTAAACCAGGACTAAACCAGGACTAAAACAGGTATTTCAGGTAGGATCTAAACCAGGTCTAAACCAGGTAAACCAGGACTAAACCAAGGCTAAACCAGGTCTAAAACCAGGACTAAAAAGGACTAAAATAGGACTATTTCAGGTCTATTTCAGGTCTAAACCAGGTCTAAACCAGGTCTAAACCAGGACTAATAGGACTAAAATAGGACTATTTCAGGTCTATCAGGTCTAAACCAGGTCTAAACCAGGTCTAAACCAGGACTAAAATAGGGCAAAATAGGACTATTTCAGGTCTATTTCAGGTCTAAAACCAGGTCTAAACCAGGTCTAAACCAGGACTAAAAAAGGACTAAAATAGGATAAGGACCAGGTCTATTTCAGGTCTAAACCAGGTCTAAAACCAGGTCTAAACCAGGACTAAACCAGGACTAAACCAGGGCTAAAATAGGACTAAAGGTCTAAGGTCTATTTCAGGACTAAACCAGGTCTAAACCAGGTCTAAACCAGGACTAAACCAGGGCTAAAATAGGACTAAGGTCTAAGGTCTAACCAGGTCTAAACCAGGTCTAAACCAGGACTAAACCAGGTCTAAACCAGGTCTAAACAAGGGCTAAAACTCTTTCTTTCTTGGAGCTGCTACATAAATATTCACTCAGTTTCGTTTTTCATTTAAGTATTTTAATCAGCTCATTTTTTCATGTTTTCAAACTCTGTGTCTTTTTTGAGTCTAAACTTTCATGATATGATCCAGTTTCTACTGAACTAAAGTTAAAAGGCGCTGACACTGTGACATCACAAGGTGGAACAGAGCGTTTTGAGCTTTTGGAGATGTAAACAGACTAATAATACAGTTGTTACGCAAACATGTGATCAGTGTTGGGAAGGTGACTTTTAAAATGTAATCCCCTACAGATTACAGATTACATACCCCAAAATGAATCCATTACATTACTTAAAGTGAGTAATGTAATCTGAATACTTTAGATTACTTCATATTGTCAGGCTTTTTAAAACGACATGAATGAACCAACCACATCCTGAAAATTCATGTTTGTTCTCTTCAAACTGGCTGAACCCAAGTCTCCATGAACAGACTTTTGTTTCCTGTAGAGGAAAAGACGAAGATCTGAACATGAGACGTTTTGTCGCTAAAAGACAAGAAAAAACCCAGTCTTTAGTAAGTAAGTCTTTATTTATACAGAGCTTTTCACAGACATTTCTTGTCACAAAGACGTTTTACAGAACATTATTCAGCATTATTCATTCACTCTACACCTGGTGATGTAAACTACTGTTGTAGCCACAGCTGCCCTGGGGCAGACAGACAGAAGCGTGGCTGCCAATCGGCGCCATCGGTCCCTCCGACCACCACCATCACTCACACACACACTCACACACACACCACTTTCATACGAGTCAGTGTGTGTGAAGTGTCAGGCCACTAACACCAGTGCACGTCACACAGTTTGTCCTATTAATTCTCACAATTTGCAAGTGAGACGATGTGCGGGATTTTCCTCCATGTTGTTGAAGTTCTCCTGCTCCTCCAACTCAAGTCTCAACTAACTCATGTGCCAAGTTTTCATTCTTTTATATCTCTGGATTTATCGAAATAAAATAATTTTAAAAAAGGGATATAACCCAAAATGTGAAAACAGGAAAACACCGCCATGTAATCCATTTATTTCAAG